CTCCACGGGTGCAGACAGACAAGTCACTTTACTCGAGACAGCAGAAGGCAATGTGGCTATCAAATCATTCCCGGGCCTTTCCGATTCACCAGTTCTATCATTTACCTCGATCCTCCAGGGCCGGTACATCCTCATGGCCAATATGTCCGGCCAGCTACTCCTCCAGCATGGGTCTCAAACGCTGGACAGCAGGAAGGATCATGCAAAGTACGTGGTGAAGGTGGTAGCCTACAAAGACAAGGCTGATCCTTCCAAGTGGTGGGTTGCCACCGCCGGGTGGGACAAGTGTGTTTTCTTATATTGCCTCAATATCCCCGACGAAGCATACGCACCAGCTCTCAAGATTGGTGAGCCTGTTACACACATTAAACTCATTTCAAACCCGGAGTCACTGCTGTTTGTTCCACATGTGGACACCGACGAGCTGCTCCTCCTCGTCTCACGCAGAGACTCGACTTATATCTACTACTACCAGGTAGAAGGAGCATCGGAAGAAACCGATACCCGTGAAAATGATGGCGCCGCTGCTGAGAAGTCCCGGCGAGAAGCTCGCCTCCTTGGGCAGCAGAACCTGGCCCCCCATTCCAATGCCTGGGTTGCGTTCTCACCAGCCCATATGGCGCTCAGTCCACACGACCCGGGCCTCCTGGCCGTAGCGACGTCGACATTGCCGCATCTGAAAGTGATCATCGTGCGTCTGCTATTCCCCGCAATGGAGACAGCGCCCTCTTCAGAGGACCCGGTGACACAGGCATCTCAAGCACTGGCAACGCTGGAAATACAGAACCGTGAGGATGCTGCTATCCTCGTGCAGGCAAACACCTTCGCGCCGCAAACTGCTTACTCCACACCGCAAGTGACATGGCGGCCTAATGGGTCTGGGCTCTGGGTTAATGGAGATGATGGTGTGGTTCGTGGCATCGAGACGAAGACGGGGAAGATCATCGCTACGCTGAAGGGTGGCCATCAACCTGGCTCTAAGGTGAGAACTGTTTGGTCGGGGTATGTTGCTGTACCTCAGGAAGAGAGTGACCCAGTCCGGGAAGAATGGGTTATCAGTGGTGGGTTTGACAAAAGGTTGGTTGTTTGGAAGGTATGACCTCTGTAACTATGCTCAATATATATGTTGCCATGGCTTGTCTAAAGTCGATACGCTAATGTAAATATCATGGGTGTGAAGGTAAAGTAGACTTGAATGAATTGACTCGAACATGGCTAAGTATGAAAACGACTGTTACTGAGTACGGGATTTAGCCCCCCTGACCATGAACCCTGTCGCGATCGAGAAGAATCAAGACTGGATATATAGCAATCGGGGACTTGGGGGTTGTTCTTGGCACGTTAAGAAAAAATCCTTCAGCAATCGCGCATGAGAAAAAGCACGCAGCTGTACACACATATGCCGGACGGGGACCTGGGGATAAAGGGGGGAGACTAAGCTCAAGGGCCGCAACACAGACTAAGTCAAGCCCTCGAGTCTGGAAGGAAAAGTAAAAGATAGCAGAAGAGATTCCGCTTGGGAAAATGGCACCGCTGTGCACATCGAATTAAGCCTGTTGATTTATCGATATCAAACAACTCGAGGCTCGTCGCGCAAGGAATAAGCAAAAAGCAGGCCTATTCGACACAGCGGACCGTCCTTGATCGTCGCACACGTTATGTTCTCTGGACCTCTTGCACGCTCGAGTTGCATTTCATGTTTCCCATTTTTTTAAGACTGAGTTCATAATCTATGCGACCTCACGCTTGCCCTCCTTGCGCTCCTTCTGTTCAATGGGTCAGTATTCCGTGTCATAGGTGGTAGGTGCTGGGTTCGGGTTGTGGTCAACGTACAAGGGCCTTCATGGTGCCGTGGAGAGCGTGACGGTGGTTGCGGCGGAACTTGGGGTCAACACCCTTGAGGGAGGGGTAACGGTTGGTCTTGGGCTTCTTGATACTATTCGAGGATAAATATCAGCGATTCGGTTCATCGGTTCTGTTTGAGATGGGTGACGCATGGTGGTCGTAGTTCGAAGAGATTGGCCGAGCGAATATTCAAGTCGTAACCTCAAAATTATCACCCCGGATAAAAGCATTCGAACACTAGCACTTCCACCATGTCCATTGAATCGATTGAAAAATGTCGGGCAAGTGTAACAGTAGGGCGATCGAGGAAGTTCAAGGGTAGACGTACCCGTTACGGTGAGCCTTCTGGCTGTTGTGGTGCTGGGACGCGTTCTTGGACTCTGTGGGTGAAAATCATGTTAGCGTCGTCGCCTTTTTTCCCCCTCACTGGCCAGCCTGCAGAAGAGCGAAGGTCATGGGGTCGTGGTAAAAACGTACTGGCCATCTTGTCGGATGTTGTCGCTGATTGACGGTGTGATGGATGGAGAGGAGTGGGAATAGGGACGTCAGGCCTAGGAGGGTCGGCTAGGGCTCGTTCCGTTTGTGGGATCTCGCTTATCGGGCGGTGTACATACTAGAGGGTCACTACATGGCTTGTTACTTGCAAGATTGTCCTAAGCGACATCATAATGACTTGATATAGTATTGTATCCTATTGTGTCTTATTGGATCGTTCTAGAAAATTCAGAATCTGTGTCTTTTTTAGCTTGCTTTTGGCAGTTCTTCAGTCTGCGACTTTCTCCCACTTCGTTCTGCCACTGACATGCACGTGACCTAGATCCATATATATATATATATATATATATATATATATATATATCACGTGATGGATATACTCCCCATCTCCAAGTGAAGTACTGCTGTCCGGGTTATGCAGAAGACTTGATTTCGG